GAATTTTAAAGTGGCGGATAAATAGTTGTAATAGTCTTAATGCTTAAATTAATTTTTAATAGTTTTCAAGTTTATGAATATACAATTTGTTTATAATAAATACTTTATAATAAGTTTTCCTAAACTCCATGGTTAAGTTAATTTATTTACCAATAAAGAATTTACATATTTTATATTGTGCGATCCCACTCATTTTTTAAATGACTTCAAATTAATATTCCTTTTAATTTCACAGAGAAAACTGCATCAGAATTTGTTCATTTTCATTTTCGTTGACTTCTATAACTTTTTTTGTTAAATCAAAAGACATCAATATACAAGATCTATCGAAATATCAAGCATCACCTCAAATAAAAGCTTACATGTGATAATACAAACAATCTTCTAGGCCGGTGAGAAATTTAGCAAAGATGTACCAAATAACCTCCATGATTTGCAAACATATTATGAAATAGAGAAAAACTTTAATGAAAAAAATATCTTCAGGATTTAACATCGAAAAAAAAAAAAGGTTCTTATCCTTCATCTAGTAATTTCCTTTAAGGTGAGGGTCAGAATTAATTAGTCTCTGTTGATTCTAATGAATTTATTTTCAAGATCAATAATATTTTTTGAACCTTTGGTAGCTTTGGTTCTCTGCATACTATTCATTGTTTAATTATTTTGGCTTGGCAACCTTGAATCCACAACGAATGACCTTTAACGCTTGATGCTCAGCAGATCAATAATAACCGAACCAGATGTCAATGCCAAACTCTTTCAAGAGTCATAATTAAAAGAACATTCAAAGTAAGGAATCGTGGCTACATTAGTTTCTTAAAGTACTAATTCAGGAACAAATCTTTATGTCCTCTTCATAATTTGGAAGTCAACCAACAAAGAACAGCATGTTCACATGTTTGAACGCATCTCTCAAATCCTGTTTTAAATTCAACTTTAATAACAGTATGAAATTTTAATGTATTTTTATATACGAATTTTTTCAACTGTTTAACTAATATAGAAATAAATATCATACCAATATTCTAATATCTGGTAAATATCTGCTTAAGAGGCATCGAATCATACAAGATACATAATTTTTATGACCTGCCCACATTCACTGTTTTTCCCATAGAATTAAAAGTCAGTGGAAATAATAATAAAATAAAAACGATAAATAATATGTTAAAGTCCATACCTTTGCACGTACTTCCTTAATTGTATAAAGTGCCCATGCCTCCCGTCTTTGTCCTTTTCGTATTTATCTGATCAACCATTCCTGTCAAAAACCTTTTGTAAACATTCCTTCGGATATAATTATCAAAGAGCAACCAACAGAATTAATAATTCCTCAAAAACATGATCATTCACAGGCTCCGCCTCTTCCGAATTCTCTTTAGGAGTCTCGCTTATATTTTCTTCGGGAATAAATAATGGTCAAACCATGAAATGTTGATCCGTAAATTCAATCTATTTTAATATATGACAACAGCATGTTGGTATTAGAAAATTTTCTCCGATCTCCGAAATGTTAAAATTACGCGTTTATACCTCACTCAAACTGTCAATTTCGAAGAATCCGCATAAAGTTAGAACTTTGACGCCATTACTGCTCGACAACAACGTTGGTCATATTCTCGACTATATTGAAAGAATCCTCAGGAATCCTCAGCGACATAGACGAAGATGTTGATGCTCAATTAGTAGAACAGTATCTGAATTCCAACTGATTTGCTGGTGAATTTTTTGACAAAAGATCTTCATGTTCTGATTTTGGTAATTGGGAGATTTACCCACTATTTCTATTTCTATTTACAGTTAGTTTTGTTAGTTTAGTTAGTTTACTTTTTTTTTTTTTAAACATTAAATTGTTTATAACCATTGCAAATCCGTTTAATATTATTATTAATCTATATTACATTAATTTCGGCTTCCATGACCATTTTGAAGTCAAGACGTCGTTAGGACAAAAGTCGAATATTTCACGGAACTGGAACGTGATGCATAAACATAAATCACGTGAAAAGTTTTTGAAGTCCCCAATATCTATGAAATGACATCAGGAATTGTCTAAGTATATATCCCAATGATCATACAAAGCGTCAGAAGATTTTATCTTCTTACTCCTTCTGTTATTACTAATCATTGTTTTGAAGTTGTAAATTATTGCTGCGACGTTACCAATGTTTTAATGAAATTAGGATAATTAAATAAAGATTTCTTAACCTTTGATACAAATGTAATCCCAAAGTCTTTGAAATTTGCTTCCATAAATCATAAGGTCATCAAAAAATGAATCATGGAAACAAACCCTACACATTTTCAAATAAGAACATCAATTTAATCACCATTTTATCCCGAAAATAAAGGATAAACAGTAATACCTTAAAAACTCGATACCTGAAATTTTCTCGCACTGAACTATCTGCTTTAGGATTGCATGAAGTTGAAAACAACAAAGTTTTAATTTAAACTCAGACCGACAGAATTATTTCAGCTTGTTCCAGCGGAAAATTGAAGAAATTTTTGGAACAAGGCAATAGGATATTACAAATACTTGCTGATGACATTTTTCTAGTTATAACGAGGTTTTTTTTTTTAAAAAAAAAAAAAATATTACATATATTAGGCGGTACAATTTTTATTTTATATGATTAATCATGTGATACAAAAAATTTAATTAATATAAATTATTTAAAATTTTATTATAACAATTTTTTTACAAGAGTTACTTATTACAGATAAACGATTAGACTTTTCTATATTACAAATATAATCCTTCTACATAATAAATACATTTTAAACTCCTTAATTAAAAAAAACAAAAATAAAATGACTGGAATTTTGACCAGAAAAACTTCTAATTTACGCAATTATCAAAAGTGTTCATTAATTCTCTCGTATTTTTAACTTTCTAAGACCAAAAACCAGCAAAAAGTACTTCCATATCCTTGCAATGATCAAATAGATTTTCCATCTCCCTGATCGGCCGGAGCGTAGCGAAGGACTCAAGATGTCCGTTTCCTTACCATAGTATTTAAGGTTTGGACAGAATCTGAGATGGAACAATCCAACTGCACCGATTAGAAAATATTTTCATGGGGAGTAATTTCATTTAACTCCCCATGAAAATGCCATTCTGTAGGCTATGGCCGGTTAGCATTTGCAATGAGGTCTTCTTTAGTTAGAAGACCGTTGTGTATATTAGCATTTGCAATGAGGACTTCTATCGTTAGAGGGAGGAAGGGCGAGAATGAACGAGAAGTTCTAGGCATTTTATTTTGTGATTTAATTATTTTTATTCTTTATATTGTTTTAATTGTTTATTTTATTTTATTTTATTTTATTTTTTGATAAAAAGTGAAATTTTTTTGTCGACTTTTTTCTGCCCTGCTTATTTATTTATATTGGTCAAAAAATTTGATTTGATTTGAGATTTAATAATCATCTATTTTTACAAATGGAAATTATTTACCCTGGTATTACTTACACAGTTGTGTTTAAAGACACGATAAAATAGAAAAAAAAAAAATGGATTAATTGTTATTGTTTTTATGATAAGAAATTATATTACAACTATTACATCTTCATATGACAGATCAGATTAATTATGTAAATACATGAGAATATTTTTAAGGGTAAACAGTACAGAATGATAACAATAGTAAATGGAACTTTGATTGTTATATCTTTTCACAAAATATAATTACATTCTCGTATAAGAACAATATCATAATTTTTATACATTCATGTTCCGACTAGAATGGTCTTTTTAAACTTTGAATGAACTACTTAAACAGTTGACGTCCCATTTGATTACACAACATAATTGTGACCTAAAAGGCGTAGTTATTTTCATATCATCAATTTATTGATACGAGAGACGCAGTAATGTGAATTGGTGATAATTTCATTTAATAATTCAACTTTACTTAGGGTTGGGGTGATACGATAATTGATTAGAGGTAATGGCAAACGCCATTGGCCATTGAACTTTGCGATCACATTTATAAAATTAAATAACCGAAATTTATATGTTTCTGTTCGTTCAACATTACTCTTAACCCTCCAATTCCATCATGAATCCTCTCATTAACTTTTTTAATTGTTCTGTTTTGCTTCTAATTCATAATGTTCATGAAAATGTATTTACAAAATATCAATTGCAAGTGATGGTAATCATTTCCTTTTCTAGATTATCTTAATTGCAAGTAATTGGATGATGTTTTTTTTTTTTTTAGAATTTCTAAGATATTATTTTATATTCAAAATAAAAATTTTTTTAGAAAAGATATAATTTATAATATTGATCATAGTAATTTAATATTTGATTACAATTTATTAAAAAATTAAAATATATTTTATTAAAGAGAATTTTTATATAGAAATATTTAGTAAAATCAAAGTTATAAGATATAATAAAACATATTCTTAATATAACTATATTATTAATATTTTTAAATAGTAATTTTTAATAAATAAAAAAGTTTTAGAATTTATTTATTAAATTAATAATAAAATTAATTTTAATAATTTTTAAATAATTCTTTATAATTATTTATAATTTAACTCTAAAGATAAAATTTTATTTTTAATTTTTGAATTTATTTATTTTAGTTAAAATAAACATATTGGTTTTGTATAATTTTTTAAAAAGAATATTTTGCATTAATATTATTTTTAAAAATTAGTAAAGAAATATACATATTATCAATAGAAAAAATTGCAACTCCAAATATCATATAAGATTTTACCAATTAATAATGATTTCACATTAGATGATCTTTCAACTTCACTAAATAATAATTAACAATAATTTTTATTTTGCTTATTTTTTCTATTTTTTCTGAATTTTCTTTACTGTCTATTTATTCTGTTTACTTTATTTTGTTTGTAATTCTTATAACGTTTTTAATTTATTTTATTTCTTTTATTATTTTATAGTTTATTTTACTTTTATTATTTTATTACATTTAAGTAAAATTTATTAAAATATACATATTTAATAATTTATAATGTAACAAGTAGTTAACAAGACCCTAAACATTTCTCATTTAACTCATAAGTGATATATAGTAAAATGTATTTTTTACAATAATTTGATTAATATCAATATTAGAGATATGAGTTTACTATTATTATTTCTCTTATTGAAATGATTTTAATAATATTAAAATTGTCTAAATCCAATTATTAGTAAGCTTAAAAACTGGAGTATGTAAGATAATAAATTTTGAAAACTCTTCTATAACACGTAATTTTTGCTAAAATTTATATATAAACTTTATGTAAACTCTAATTTGAATTTTATAAGAGATTTTAAGATTCTTAGTTAGCTATAACAATTTAATTTTGTATAAATAGAATAGCTTTTTACTCAAGTTATAAATTAATTTTTTTACAAATACTAAGTTTTAATATTATTAATAAAGGATAAATTTAAAATTACTTTTTACTTTAATATTATTTTTTTATCTAAGATTTGTTATGAAATGTTACATCAATTTATTTTTAAGTTTATTATTATAAAATTTAATTAAATAATATCTTAAATTCTAAGACATAATAAATTGCTGAATTGAATCAAGTATAATGGATTCCTATAAGACTTAGAAAAAATCTTACTCTAATATGTAGAATCAATTATTGTAGTCTTTTAATTTAGATATTAAATAACTGAAAATAAATTTAGTGACTAGAGCTTTGCATAAGCTAAATCACTTGCAAATTAAATGAGTCAGCTTGTTTAGACTTGACTTAAACTACTATAAAATGAATTATAAATTAGATAAGTTAGCTTATGCTGTAACTTAGTTCATATTATAACTTAATTTGTTAATTTGCATTTTTTTTTAAAATAAATCTAAAGGAATTTTTCTTTAAAGAAAGTTGCTCCAATAGCATTTTTTTAAAGAAAAACATACCAGCAATATTTTCTTAAAGAAAAATGTATCTAAAATTGAATTTCTTTAAAGAAATTTACTTCTAAAAGTGTAATGTCAAAAAATTACTTTAGAAGCATTTTCTTCAAAGAAATGCTTTAAGAATTGTTAATTTTTAGAAAATTATCTCAAAGCATTTTTCTTTAAAGATACATTTTTAGAAGTAATTTTCTTTAAAAAAAATGCTTCTAAAAGTAATTTTCTTCAAAAGTAATACCTTCAAAAGTAATTCTATTAAAAAAAATACATCTAGATATGATTTTTTCAAAGAAAAAGCCATAGAGACAATTTTTTCAAGAAAATCATTCTGAAAGTGATTTTTTTTAAAAAACATCTTCAAAAACATTTTTCTTAAAGGTAATCATTCTAAATATTTCTCTCAAAAGAAATTATTCTAAAAATATTTCTCCTAAAGTGAATTATTCTAAAAATATTTTTCTTAAAGGAAATCATTTTGAAAATGTTTTTCTTAAAGGGAATTATTTCAGAAATATTTCTTTCAAATAGATTATTTTAAAATTGTTTCTTATAATTGAAATGTTTTTCTTAATAGAATTTTATTTCAAAAAATAAACTGATTAAGTTAAATTATAAGCTAGCTTAACTTGACTTAAATTATCAAATGATCTTTTTAAGTTGAGCTGAAATAAAAATGACTTAACTTAAATTAATTTAAAGCCAAACTATACTAGTTTATACAAAGCTTTACCAGTGATAATATAATTAAAAATTTAATATAATTAATTTAAAAAAATTATAATACTTTCCAAAAATTCTAATTTATAATACTTTTTTTAAATAATACAATAAAACTTTTATTATTTATAATTATTTTTTAGAAATAAATTAAAAAAATTATATAAAACTGTAAAAAAAAAAAAAGTAAAATTATTTTCAATAAAATTAACTAATTATTTTATATTATTTAAAATTTAAATAAATCTATTAAAATCTTTTTATTTAATATTTTTAAACAACAACTTGTAATAATATCTTTAGTTTATTAGTTTCTTTATTTTTAATTTTTTTAATCTTCTTCATTTTATTTTTTTAAACAAATTTATTTAAAGGATTTATTGCTAAATAAAATTACATATTAAAATATAATTTTTAATAAATTATTTAATATTTTATTAATTTTATATTAATAAATAATTACTTTTTTTAGAATAAATTATATTAATTAAATATATATAAAAAATAAAATTAATAAAAAAAATGTGATAAAAAATTTCAAAATATTATTAATTTATTAAAAGTTATTATCATAGTAAAAATATATCTAATAAATTATATATATTGTCTAAAATTTATAATAAATGAATTATAAAAATGAAATATTTAGTAATAAAAAAGAAATATCATAAAAGTTAACATATTAAAGAGTAGATTTTAAAATATTCAATGTATATAAAAAGGAAAAAAGTATTAGTTATTTATAATAATAAAGAAAATTCAAATTAAAGGATAATATTTAGAAATTATATGTTAAATTATAATAACTTTTGTTTAATATTTCACATTTTATATATAAAAACTTTTAAATCATTATAATAAAATTTTTTTTATAAATTATAAATTTACAATAATTAATTATTAATTTATAAATTTTTTTTTTATTCTTAAATGTCAAAATACTTAAAGATTTTGCAATTATATTATTAATTTTTACTAAATTTTACTATTATAGATCTTTATTTATTACATCAAACAATTTATTAATATCATTATTTTTCTTAGTAGATTTCTTAATATTTTAAAAAATATAAATATATAATATAAATATTTCTTTTATTATCATATTATTGCTAATACTTTCTTTTTTTAATACAGCTAAAGTTTTTACATAATATATTTTATAAGATATATATTTTAGGTAATATTTTTTTGCTACTTCTTAAAAGTTTTTTTATAGCATTATTTTTCATTTAAATTGAAACTTATTATTAAAAAGTCATCAATATTATTATATAATAATATTATTAATATTGATTTTTATACTAACAAATTTATGCTTAATATTTTAATATGCAATCTTTGTTTTATCAACCTTTCTTAATCATTTTTTATATTTTATTTAGTAATTATATTTATTATATAATAATTATTTAACATATATATATATTAGAGATCAATTTTATTGGCCTATGCTATGCTGATCACAAATAGTAAAAATTATTATTTATCAACATTAACTTTTTTATATAATGAAATAGTAGAAGAAAATTATTGATGCTAAAAGTCAAACGGGTGACCATTATAACTTTACGATCAATTGGTTTTTCTTTATTGCATTATAGCACTCCTCAAGGATTTTTAGATATAATTCTATCACTCATCCCAATCATTGGAATTTTTGTAAAGACTAAGAATCTTGAACTAATAATGTTAAGATAACTCGTAGAATCAGATATTTAAAAAGGTAATAAAGTATCGTAATACTCTTCTTAATAGATATTATATTAGAGTCTCCTCATTAACTGATTCTTCTTACGACTAACAGAAGTCTCTCATGCAAATAATGAGCCCCATCTTTAGATGTTGTATCAGCTTTTCTGAACTGTAATTATAGGTCTGGTTAAAATACCTTATTACAAGAAAAATTTCAATTGAAACAGAAATTACAGCTCTTTGAAATTAAATTCATATGTTCCTCATCGTAATTTCATCTTTGATAAGAATCTTTCATGTCACAAATAGAAATGATAGGGTTTATATTTATCGCGCTGAAAAGGTCATATAAATGCTTATGAAATCTTAGCCAAGATTATACATTGAACAAATATATCACTGAATCTTTACGACTTTAAATTTGCATTGGAATTTGGATATGATGTTAGATTGGCAATACTTCATAAAAACGCTCGAGTAATGGATCTAGTATCGCGTATCATTAAAAGGTACTCCTATTATGGTTCCTGAACTTCACAAATCATTATCAAAATGGCTTTTGCATAAGAATGATGCTGAACTTTCAAAGCAGTGTGATCACTTTGTAAATATTTTTCCCTAGTCAAACTTAACAATCATTTGTTAAATCAGCTCAATGGTATATTAGATCAGTTGCATAAGCTTATGATATTGAAAATCTGGAATTACTTTTGGAAAAGAAATCAATATGTTAATTATTGATTCAACTCTTAATTAACACTTACTGCAGTCGATCTGGAAAAATATAAAAAGATATTCTGCAAATTATGGGAATGTGTATGTGGGTTCTATATGCTTTAGTAAAATTGGAAATTTTCAAATGGCTATCAATATTATTGGTAATGCACATAGTACGAGTTAAGAAGTTTATACAACTCGTTGATGCTTAACATGAATGAAATCACGAAATGGATTGTTGAAACTATCAACTGACAAGCGTGAGTTGCAGTAAATGACGAGTGTGTAATTAGTTAGTTTATTACAATTATTTTTGTAATATTTCAAACCAGTTTATGTAGATTCCACATTCCTACTGGATCGTTAAAACATTTACATATTAGTTGTCATATTACATAATTCATAAAGTATATACATGTATATCCAAGAAATAATCGAAAAATTTCTACGTATATGAAGGATTTTTGGATAGTGGTGATATGCTAAGTTTTGTTCGATATATAGATGATGATGCATCATTGGACCAGACAGCATTGGAACTTTTTAAGTTTTACAAGTGGTAGTACTGTAACTTCAAATGGTAAATAAATAATATAATTATATTTCCTTATTTTCATTTTAATGTATTAATGCTGTTCTTTTATCATAGGCATCATTTTTTACTAAAACATTTTTATACATGGATGTCAAAGAATTTGACTTTCTGATAAGGAAAATTTTACGATTTTAAAATTGCTTATAATCTAATTTAGTGCGATAGTAAGTTTGAAATTCTACCTGATTGATTTATTAATTAGTTTTTGAATGGTATCATTTAGTTTCTTATTATCTTAGTCTTATCTAGTATTAAATCTGATTTCTTGTCATCAAAATCTATCATTTCAACGCAGCCGTTTGGGTAGCTTCATTGGTATCATAAATGTATTAACAGACGAAGCCCAGAAAGTTTCTGGTTCTGAGAAGCTCACCTCTATGTAATTCAAATTACATGTTCTAGTCAGTGAAGATATTAGCATTTCCAAAGATTGGCTACTTAGATGGCTGAAAATGAATGCACAATAATTCATCCATCACCTGGTAGAACATTTTTTTTTTTCATTCGTCTTAAAATTACTGAATTAATTCTAATTATAATGATGGAGTCAATTATTATCTATTAATGCTAGCATTCGGATACTTTCATTTCAAAATATTTTCTGATATTTAAACAAGCGTAACCATAACCGTTTCAACATTTTGCACTCAATACCAAAGTTATCATTATGCATGAAACAACAGTTACAGAGATCTGTATTGAAGGTTCAACATCTCGTCGTCAACAGACAAGAGAAAAAATTCCTTATGATGTGGTATTGGCAAAATTGGATATAGCTGGTGGATTGGCTAAGACTTAAGATTAGAGGTAAAAATTTCATGTGGAACCTTCAAACTAAAGAGTCACGTCACAAACCTTTGAATGCAAATGATATTGATAGGCCTAGACAATGTTACCTAGTAGGATAGATCAGTCCTTATAGAACTAGTAGATAGATAGATATCAAAAGCCATATAGGAGTTAGATCAAATTTAGAAAAATAACGTTTTGGATAAATGTTGTAAGGAAGGATTTGGTATATAATATTTTAATCATGTATAAGAAGTCACGTGGCTTATGCCTTACGCTTTTTTATTTTTAATTTTTTTTTTTAAAAAAAAAACTTAGTTATGATTTTCTATAGAAGGAAATGAACAGTTCAATTGAAGAAGCGAGAATTATGGTTGACAAGCACAAAGGCATAGATTTATTAAACAAATAAGGGAATATTTGAAAATGGATAGATAATAGGTTTCAAATAAGTTATTAGCTTTATTTCATTATAACATGAACAATTAATAAATTTGTTTGCTTGACATTAAATGGAAAGTAAATAAACCTTTATTTGATACCGCTGAAATTACATCAATAAAATCGAATTCAAACATCAAATTCATGATATTTGGGTTCAACTTTTTCCAAATCTGCTTAAACATATACTATTTAATGAAATTTTCTTTAATTTTGATTTAAGCGACAAGATAATTTTTGAACTAGGAATACTTGTGCCTCTTTGAATGTCAGTTCATTATGGAAATTTGTATATATGCAATTGCGTTATATAATGTACATATTTAAATTTTTAATTGTGCTATTATAGGTTCATTGATTATCTAAATCCTAAAGCAGCTTCTACAGAATATTATCGATTTGTGATTCTATTATTAATTAAAAATGATTTAGAGGGTAGTAAAATAGGATTAGAAAATAAGAGGTTGCTTTTATTTTGATAATAAATACTATAACAAATATAATCTTATACTACTATAACTATAACTATAACTAGAAACATTAGCTACTTTATCGTTAAGCAATATCTGCATCTCTCACCACGACCCTCCACCTGATCTAACCGTCACTATTCTGAATCTGCGCATATCACTTGATTAGCAAGTGGAGGTTTTCAATTTACGCAAGTTTGAAAAGGTTGAGTACCTTTTCAACATCACTTTCTAAACTCTCATTTTTTAAAAAGCTTTTATTTATAGCTTTAAACGTGGTTCAGGTAATAAAATAAGTTTGCTAGCTGGCTGTCCTTTTAAATTTGAACCCTATTAGGCTTATCTAATTTCATCTATCCTCTTTTTTGGAACCATTATCTTCTGGTTTAAAAGGTTTTTTTTTTTTCTCTCTCTCTCTCTCCTTGATAGCTTCATATATTTCAACTTTTTTTTCTTCAACTTCATTTTGAAGTTTAAATCGGAAAGGATTTTTTTCTCTCTCTCTTTTCAATAGCTTCATATATTTCAACTTTTTTTTTCAAAAGTTCTATCTTTTCATTTCTAACTTCGTTTTGAATTTTAAATTGGAAAGGGAGGTTTTTTTTCTCTCTCTCTCCTTGATAGCTTCATATATTTCAACTTTTTTAGAACCATTATCTTCTCTGGTATCGAAAATTATAGAAGTCATATATAGGTAAGGTTTAAGTTTAGGTATAGAATAAATTTGTTGCAGGTTTATCACCACAAAAAATTTCTCGTTTGTGATCTTATATTCGCACTTGATTGGTTCTTAAATACATTTGATTGATATAATTTATATCAATAACATAATTTGTTTAAATTAAAATAATAATTAATAGATGATGTGAAAAAGATAATATTATTGAATTTCTATATATATATTTTAGCATAAAATTATAATATGATTTATAAATAAAATAAGTATTATTAATTAGCCAAAATTAATAATTTTAAGGTGTTTAGTAATTTTTAATAAAGAATATAACATTATTGATCAATTCTAATTTTTTTTTGATTAAAAAAACTTATTTAAAAACATTTTTCTTATATAACTTTAATTTTATTTAATTTAATCATTCATAATTCTTTTTTAACTGCAAATATTAATTTTTTTAAGAATATAAAAAATAAAGAGATTTTGTAAATTAAAATTATTTTTTTATTATTAATAAACTATTAAGTATTAAATATTATTATTATTAAAATTATATTAATTTTAATATTATATTTTATTATAATTTTTTTGATTTAGATTTATGCAAAAATAATATAAAAAAATCATAAATAACTAAATTTCATATTTTATTAAACTTATAAATAGATTTCAATAACTAATACATTAAAATATTAATTAAAAATTATTGCTTTTTTTTATAATTTTAGAAATCCTATTGAAAGAATCAAATTAAATAAAAAAAAAAATTAATTGAAATTTTATATATTACTATCTTAGCAAAGTAGATATTATTTTATATAATGTAATCTTAAAATTCTATAATTTCTAGACTAAAATCAATTTATATAATAAAAAAAAATATTTTTTTATATAATATTAAAATAAAATCTATTAATTTAATATCAGTTTAATTTATTTATTTTTATGATATATTAGAAAATTTTCTTTTATATATAAAATACAAGTTTATTAAACCAAATTTATTATAATAAAATCATATACTACAGTCAACTCTTGATATAACGAATTTTTGAATAAATATAATAAAAATACTCTTGTTATAGTGAATTGATCAATCAAATCTCTTAAAATTTTCACTATAATTTTATAGCAAAATTGAGGTTTAGAACATAGAATTCATTATAACAAAAGTTGACTATATATACTATGTAATATTAAATTTATTATAAAATTTTATATTTAAAATTTTTTCACTTACTTTTTTTATAAATATAATTTAATTATTTAAACAAATAAAAAAATAAAATATATTTTTTTCTTATTTTTATAAATAAAACTAAATATTAATAGTAAATATAATTATTTAATAAAAAGTATATAAATCATTTTTGTTAATGTAATTATTTAAGAAAAATTTAATATAGTATTTTCTAGTTTTCATCAGATTTATATATAATTAATATATCAAAAGTAAAATTATAAAATAAAATAATGTAAATTTTTATTCTTTAAATTTTATTAAATAAAATATCAATTATAAAAATAAAAAATATAAACCTTATTTTTAAAAATAATAAACTTATTAGCTTTATCTAATTTATAAAAAAATTTTATTTTAAATTTAATTATATAATTAGTTTATAATTTTTATCTAATTTCATTTTAAATATATCACAGCTGCTAAAAAATATAAAATATATAAGTCAATTATAAGGGTTAAATACTATAATGAATATAAATAATAAAAGTTTAAAAAATATAATTATTAATAATATTATATTAAAAATCTTTATTATAATTGGTATCCTATATAAAGAAATTTATAATTTTAACATAATAAATTTTATTAATCTTAAATTTAATTATAATTAAATATAATTGATTTTATATAAATATATCATTTTTTTAATTTCTAGTGAGTTTAATCAAATTAAAAATAATAATAAAATTAAGAAATTTTTTTTTTTTACAAATTATTAATGATAATAATTTTTAAAATATTTTATAATTATTTTGATTATTAATTCTTAAACATAATATATTTAAAAATTTTAAGTTTTATCTAAAAATCTATGTCTTTCTTATAAATTAAATTATTTTTAATTAAAGCTCTAAACCGTTTAGATTAATCTAAAGATTTTCAATTCAGATTAATTTTAGATTGCATAAAGATTATAAATTTTTCTTTAAAATTTATATTAAAAATTGCAAAATTCTTAGAGAATTGCAATTTTTTGCAAATTTTTTAAAAATCACAATTTTTTATGAAACTTTTAAAGAATTATAATTTTTGCAAAACTTTTAAAAAATTACAAAAATTTGTGACTTTTCTTTAAGAATTGCAAAAATTGCAAATATTTTTTAAGGTTTACAATAAGATTATTTATAATTCTTTAAGAATTTTGTATATAAATTATAGATTTTCTTTAAAATTCACATATAATCAAACTGAACTTTCAAATTTTTATTAGTATATAGTTCAGTTTGAATTTGAATAAAATTAATAATCTAAATTAAACTAATTGAAATTTAGATTTAAATTCAAATTACTTTTAATTTAAATTGAATTAAACTATTCAAAACTTTATTTTTAATAAATATTTTTAAGAAAAAATTTTTAAAATAAAACTTAATATAAAAAAAAAAATTTTAATTATCAAATTTATTTTTAAAAAAAAAATAGGTTATTAATTACTATAATAAAAATATTTAATTTTATATTATTTATCTATTATAAATTATTTACTTATAAATTAATAAATATAGTAAATTTATTAATAAAAATTTATTAAAATAAAAATTATTATTATATATTGACTAATTAAATAAAATTATATTTATTTTATATTACTATATTTTTATATAAAAAATTATTCTAATGATAATTATTATTAATGTCATATGATTTTTATATATAAATAAAGCTTTCTCAGTATTATTTTCAAGTTTTTATTTCTACTTGATCATAGAAATATTTGTCAAACTATATAACACCTTTTATGTTTTCTATTTTTATAAGTATCATAAATTTTTTATATTTTGTATTTTTATATTATGAGATAATATAGAATCAGTACTGAAGAAAATCCAATATTCTTTATAGATTTTTAATTAAATTTTTACTGATTTTCAAAATCATATATTTATTGAAGCAAATATTAATAAATAAAAAAATAATATGTAATGAGAATATTTGAAACTTAAATTTTTTTCAGAATGCAAAATTATATTTATCATTTTTTATTTATTACATAGTTAATTTCTTAATACTGTAATATCAACTAAAAATTATATAAGAGTGAAAATTTAATGATAATATTAAGATAATTATATGAATAATTTGTTACTTTATATTACATTCATTTTTACTATATATTTTGAGAACTTATAAATTTGTAAAATCATATTTATTTCTAATTTTAGTTAAATTTATAATATTGATTAAAATACCTTTTTGAAAAATTAGTGATATTATATAATACTAAAAGGCAATTTAATTTTGATAAAATTTAAATTAGATTACATAAATATTCAAAAAGAAAATTTGTGATACTAATGATAATCACTACCAATAATGATTAATAAAATTCTTTTATATATATAATATAAATTATAAAATTTAGTAATTAACAAATTATTATTTATTAAATTATTATAAAAACCTTAATTTAAGCTCTAGCTGAAGTATAAAACTGTATAATTATTATAAGATTTTTATTATAACTGAACACAAAAGCATATAGATTAATATAAATTAATATCTAATCAATTGATTTATCAATCAATATTAATTATGCCTAAATACTAGCTTAAAAAATAAGTAGATATAAATAAGTCAAAGCTTGACAAAAACTTGACCTTCACTAATAAATCTATTAAATACTATCTTATATCTTTAAATAGTAAAGATTCTTATATAAGTAAAGTAATTAATTAGTAATTAGAAGATTTGAGTACTATCTTCTGATAGCTATGATAATAACTACATTACATGTCATAGTATCATTCAAATTGAACTATCACTAGAATAAAGGTTGAGTTCAATTTTCAGATGAATTTAATAATATGAATATAACAGTTATCATCTTTACAATTTTATATAAAGATGATAATTCTTAGAATATAGCTTTATAAGATTATTTTATTATCAAACTTACTTGATAATAGGTAAAAATTGTAGTTTTTAGTAGAGTTATAGTAAAAATAGGATTTGAAAAAATTTTTTTTATAATTGAAATGATTTCTCTATCTAGTGATTAATGGTATTCAATAAGATCTAGTAAGCTTATTATTACGAATATAGTTATTTCAAATATTTAAATCTAAGTGGTAACTATATAAGAATATAATTTTAGGTGAGTTGCTGATGCTTTTATGAATGTATCAGAGAAGGACCCCGAGCTATTAGTATATAGGTTAGGGAATTTCAAAATTTTTTTATAATAGCTATACGCATGAATTTTTATTAATATCAATATGCATTATTAGTATCTAACTTTAAAAATTCATCTAAAATAAGCAAATCAATCATCTGACCTTTAATTATGTAAATTATTATTTAAAAATTCAAATATTGTAATTTAAAT